ACCTATAAAACTGTGATAAGAGGTTTGGGAGACCTATAAAACTGTGATAAGAGATTACTTGATACAATATGATACATGGATTGAGAAGAAATCAGCTGGAAAAATCCAAAATGTTTTAGATGAGATTAAACCGGGGGGGGGGATCAAAAATCCTTGGAAAATCAAAACATATTTAATCAATTAAAATTATTGCAACAACAAATTTCTATGTTAACAATTTCACACATGAAAAAGGAAATTGAAATATACAAAGCAGAATTTTTAAACATGCAAATAAAGGGAGATGGCTGTACAAATTAAGAAAACAAACTGAAAAGAAAATAACTAAAACTTGTGAAGGAAATAAGACTCACATGGATAATAAAAATAGCCGAAAACTTTGGGGGAATTAATTTATAGGAGGAGCAAGAAGTTTCATTGGAACAAATGAATGACTATGTACAAAATAAAAATTTACCCAAATTATTGGAAGAACAAAAGAAAATTATGAACAGTCCAGTAACAACCTTTGAAACAACAGAAGCAAATTAAACAGCTAAGATACTTAAAGCACTGGGACCAGATGGTTTACTGAGTGGGTTTTTAAAAAATGTTTGAAGATCAATTATTATTTTCAATGAAAGATTTAATGAATTCTATTTTACAAGGTCAGTCTATGCTTGATTCATGGAAAGAAGCCTACATTTTTCTCATGCTCAAGGAAGGGCAAGACTTAACTCTTACCATATATTATAGTCTTCTTAATGACTACAAACTTTTTACATCCATCCTAGCTGAAAGACTAAAAAATGTTTTACAAGTTGATGTCCATGAAGTTCATCGGTGTGATTTATTACCTAAAAGACAACTAAAGGACAATGTGAGAATCATCTAAGATATAACTGAATATTTACAACAATGCAAGGACAAATAGGCTGTACATTTTTTTAGATGCAGAGAAAGCTTTTGATAATCTGAATTGGGATTTTATGTTTAAAGTAGTTGAGAATATGGACTTCAGACTGAGTGTTATACAAAGACTGAAATCTGTTTATACACCACAGAAGGTCGAGATTATGGTCAATGGAGAGTTGATGAAACCATGTGAGATTCAGAAAGGGAAAGGCAGGGAAGATCAAAGGGAAGATCAAAGAAAACTGGAAAACAAAACTGGATTTAAGATTATAAAAAAAGGTAAAATACCTTGGTGTAACTCTAATAAAAATTCTATTTTGTTTAAAACTAACTATATTAAAATGTGGAATGAGATAAAACTGGATTTTCACAGATGGGGAAAACTAGATTTGTCACCAATGGGAAGAATTTCTGTTATTAAAATGACTGTTTTACCCAAAATGTTTTTTGACTCGATTTTACCAATTCTGATAAAAGATCTGTCTTTTAAACAAGGGCAAGAGGATATTTCTAAATTTGACTTCCTCTCAAGATGGCTGGTTGCATGATAAGGGCTCCCCCACCCTTATTGACAATCTGCTGATTTCACTGTCAAAGCTGACTTCGTCTACCTTAAAAGGCTGACATTTTCTTTTCTCACCGTTTTGGATAGCACTGTTATTGATGGAAAAGTATAGCACAATTCTTCTGGTCCTACTAGAGCATTGATTCTCCTGATAATTGTCTTTAAATCAAAAGAGGAAATAGTTTCTCTATTAAAATGAACAGATTAATCAAGAGGATCCCTATTTTGCTGAGGTTTCATGAAAAAATATCCAGATATATTCTTCCTGAGGGAAACACTTACAACGCAAGTCAGTTTGCTGTTGTGTTCAATGATTCCATTATGCAATCAGGAGACTAGGCATGTCACCACTCATGTCAGTAATTAGAAGCTGTTCTCTGAAGGTCCTTGGATTTGGTTCTATCCTGACTTCAGGTTTCAATCAAAATATTGTCCATTCACACTGTATATATTGTTCACTGGTGTGAAAGTCAGTTGTACACGTGACCCGACAAATGCGCGCATGACAAATATCCGCCGATGAAACCGCGGCGACAAAACTGCGACGTCGAAAGCGCACCCACTAAAGCGCGATTAGGGTTTTTAGATTAGGGTTAGGGTTAGGGTTAGGGTAAGGGTTAGGGTTGTTAACGTTTTTGCGTTGTTTTCGTGTTGTTTGCTGATGGCGCGCATTTGTCGGGCGCGCATTTGTCGGTGAATCAGTTGTACATTGTATAAGTAGTGTCGACTTGTTATGGAACCATGATTCCTGGATCGCTGATCACATAACCCCTTGTCATTCTTTCAGTGGCATTCTCCCTGCCAAATAGGCTGGAATTAGCCACCAATGCAATAAATGATATACCCTGATAGCACCATTAAGCACCATTAGCAAGCAGAACTGGAACTAGAGTTAGGCAGTAATTTCATGATTTCAGTATGGAGCCATGGTGGCACAGTGGTTAGAATCAGGGTTGAAATCAACTTACCTTCACTACCAGTTCGCAAATGTGAGCATGTGCATGCACAGGGGCTTCGATTTCTGACAATTAGCAGTGATGCACGACTTAGATTAGCTAGAAAGTAGGAAATCCGACAATTCTAGCTAATATAAATTGTGCGTCACAGCGGATTGTCGGAATACAAATTCACCCAAACCGGTAGCATTTTTTTTACTACCGGTTCAGGGGAATTGGTCCAAACCAGTAGCATTTGACCTCTGGTTAGAATGCAGTACTGCAGGGCTAACTCACTGCTCACTCTAAGAGTTCAATTCTGAGTGGCTCAAGGTTAACTCAGCTTTCCATCCTTCCGAGGTTGGTAAAATGAGGACTCGGATTGTTGGGGGCAATAAACTGACTCTGTAAACTGATTAGAGAGGGCTGTAAAAGCAATATGAAGCAGCATATTGATCTAAGTGCTATTGCACTTATTTTCCATTGGTGGAAGAGGGCTTTGAAAAGCATTCTAAGGGGCATTATTTGTAGGGAAGTATTTTTTTTATCATTCATTAAATATCTTGTCCTCAGAATTCACTCGTGACCCGACAATTGCACGATAGACATATGCACACCGACAAAATAGCACCGATTAAAACGCGACGTCAAAATCGCGATGACAAAATCGCGATGACAAGCACAATAACATTGAAAAATTTTTAGGGTTAGAGTTATAACGTACGTATACGCGTCCCACTATGTTAAAGGCCCAGCACACTCACTGGGCTGTCTATAGTTTGTTGATGACGCGATTTTGTCGTCGCACATTTGTCGGCGCACTATTGTTGAAAATCAATTAGCAATTTTGACGGCGCTCATTTGTCCGTCGCGGTTTTGTCGGCGTGCATATGTCTATCGCGCATTTGTCGGTGAACCGAATTCACTTAGGTTCACATGAAATTAAAAAGATGTACAGATGTTCATTTGAAGTCATTCAAATTGGAATAACAATTATTTCTTTATCACACTTGAGTTGAGAATTTCTCCAGACAGTATTTGCATATGATCTTTATTTGGCGTTAGAGCGCTGTTTAGCTATTCTGCCACATTTGCTACATTATTAGTCTGAGCAACTATCAACTTAACCTACCACCCAGGAGTCTTGAGAGAAAAATTTAGAAGTTCTTCAAGGGGGATGACATGCAGATCAGAGGTGGTATTCTGCTAGTTTTTACCGGTTCGGGCGAACCACTAGAGGCAGCTGCTGGAGGTTCTGCCCACCCACCCCGACATAATGCACAACCTTCTGCGCATGCACATTTGCGAACCAGTAGCAAAGGTAAGTAAATCCCACCACTGATGCAGATGATCAGAAATAAAATGTTAGATTTGGTCAATATTTTAAAAAAAACCTGGTAAGATTTTTGGGGGAACAAACAACTTACTGAGCTTAAAGTTTTTATGAGTGTGCTTAACTTCTTAAAATAACTTCATGGATATATTTACAAATTCTTATGGCAACAATTGTTTCAGAACATTTTTTAATTTCTCTAGCAGTTCGCAAGCACATAAAAATACAAGTAGAAAAATAGGGACTGCCATTGGTGGGAAGGTTACAGTGTTCCATGTGCCTTCGGCCTTTAGTCATGCCGGCCACATGACCTCGAAGACATCTTTGGACAGCACTGGCTCTTCGGCTTTGAAACGGAGATGACGACCGCCCCCTAGAGTCGGGAACAACTAGCACATTTGTGCGAGGGGAACCTTTACCTATTTTATTAATTAGAAAATGCAGTAAAATGTAATAAATATGTTGCTGTATTTATATGAGACAAGGTGCATTGAAGAGTTAACATACACAGATTAGTATGGGGTCCCTATGCTCATGGGGCCCATGGTAAGTGCCCATCAGGCCCATGTGTTAAGACAGCCCTGTGTCAGAGTGCTGTGAAAAGTTCAAAAATTTACTGGTTTACACATAGAAGAGTAGTTCTGTTCTTCCTCCCAATTTTTGCCTGGTGACTTATTATCGAAAACATTTTGATTACAACATCTACCGTGTTTCCCTGGAAATAAGACCAGGACTTATATTAATGTTTGCTCCAAAAGATGCATTAGGGTTTAGTTTCTGGTTAGGTTTTATTTTAGGGGAAATATGGCACTAAAATGCTTTGGTCTGGTTGACTGGGGCTTATTTTGGGGTAGGGCTTATATTACGAGCATCCTGAAAAATCATGTTAGGGCTTATTTTCTGGTTGAGTCTTATTTGCGGGGAAACACGGTAGTAGGATGGAAGGAAGGAAGACTACTTTTATGGCTAATTTAATCATTATCCTAGTTCTTTGGACATGGAAGAGAACTTGGGATCTTCAATTCTTGTCAATTTTCTTCCCTGATCAAACCGTGTTAAATTCTCTGCCCATGGTTAGAGATGCCAACAACAGCAGGTATTGAAGTCAGCTTTGATGCCAAGAAGTAGAGTAGGATAATGTATTTCTCCTCCACAACTCAGGGATTTATAATAAAACACTTATGATAAGCAGATCATATTGAGCAAGGATTAAAAGCCGTCAACCAATGAATGCACACATGAAAGGACAAAATAATTTATCTTTCCCAAGGTCTAAAAGAGCCCTAGTCCTTTGCAGAGGGAGAGAGGGAGGGAGGGAGAGGGAGAGGGAGGGAGGGAGCGAGGGAGGAAGGGAGAGAAAACATTAATCTCTCACCCCACTTCATCACACCTTGTACCAAACATCTGAGATGTGGTTTATTCCTCTGGAAAACATTATTATATGAGTGATATTTCTGTTGCCCTGGTATTCACAAACAGATGCCTATTAGATTTTGTACATATTTAGATATTCAGTCAAGAGCAAGAAAACTAGCTACTAGTGTCCACCCCCCCACCCCCCTTAAGATCCTTCCTTCTTGGTGTAATATTTAGCAGAGAAACCAATTATGTGTCTAATTCAACCATTGCATTCCATTTTCAAAATAGACTTTTAAAAATGTGATATTGGAGCAAGAAATCTATGGATTGTAGGATTATTCTTGCCTAACCCATTACACAAAAGTTAAGGCAGCTATATTTTACCCCCACCTTCTTTTTGGTTTATAAAAAAAAAAAGTGTCCATAAAACCACCAAAAGGAAAACAATGAAGTTTAGATTCCCCTTCTGAAAATTTCACATATAAAGTTCAAGTGCAATTCAAAATCCAAGTATCATTTATACTACATACTTTTTCTATCAATAATTCTTCTTTGCAGGTAGTTTCTTCAAAAAGAAGAGCAGGTTTCTTCTTTATGTGGTAGATAAACAAGGTTCCTTTTCTAAAACAAATGCTTCTCTATGATAAACTGAAAATAAAGTCATGTTCTCTGGAATTCCAAGTTACTTTTCTTTGAGGTGGAAAAAAAAATCCCATCAAATATTGGAGATTATAAAACAATAGTTATCTTCAATATACAATTTAAGATAAAGATGGGCAGGAAATCTTAAAATCAGCAAAAATGTTTCTACAGTCAAACCCAATACAATATTTAACTGGAATGCGAAAGAACCAAAAATAAAACAAACGTTCCTGGAAAAGCACTAGAAGTTATTTGTATGGTCGTAGAAATCTGGAAACTTTTGACCGCAATAGTTTTATAAACGACCTTGGAAACATCTCCTTTGATTCTTGTGCTGTGTACTTGAAATAGTTTTGAGGATGTGCCAATACATCAAATAGGGCTTTAATCAATTTCTTGTCCTGTGGGAGACAGAAGCAGCAAAAGCACATCAAAAGCATACAAAACCTTTGCCAGACCAATTCTTGAATACAGCTAGTCTTCCTGGAATCCATGCTGTTTATTGGACATTGATTGAGCAGGTCTTGTATTTCACAAGAAGAGTCCTCCACTCCTCTGCTCACAATAGAATCCCTGATGCCACCACACTCAAAATTTTGGGCTTGGACAACCTGGAACTACACCGCCTACAGTCTGACCTAAGCATAGTACACAAAATTATCTGCTACAACGTCCTACCTATCAAGGACTACTTCAGCTTCAACCTCACTAATACTCGAGCAAACAATAGATACAAACTCAAGTTAAATCACTCCAAACTTGATTGCAGAAAATATGACTTTAGCAACAGAATGGTCAATGCTTGGAATTACATCCTCAAACCCCCACAGCCTCAACCTTAAATTGTATACCGTGGACCTCACCCCATTCCTAAGAGGTCTGTAAAGGAGGCATGCATAAGCGCACCAGTGTGCCAACCATCCCTGTCTTACTGTCCTCATTTATTTGTGCTCATTTTCTTTGTTCATGTTCATACCTATACCTGTTATTTTGTACATGTTTGACAAACTAAATAAATAAAATAAAAAAAGAATTTTGCAATGGCTCTCCTGCCCTCCCATTTGGCCCTCCTACCCTGCCTCCCTCACTGGGTAAGATTTCCTTCCCCTTAGAACGGATTTCCGGTTTTCAGTCTTCCAATTTTAAGAAGCATTCTGCAACCTCTTAAATAAAAGCCACTAGGAAAGACTAAGTATGGAAAGCTTACTTTTAAAATTTCTTGGTGATTTTCTGAAGCATATAAACGCCCATCGCGAACAATGTCTTCTATTAACTGCTGATAGTCCTCTGAAAAGTGAATGGAAAAAGGACCAAATCAATGATTTTTTCCCCCCTGGCAACAATGTCCAGGCACATTAGCCACATGTTTTGAAGCGATCCTGAATTTAAACACAGGCTTTTTGTTTATTTAAATGTATTTTGTTTATTTATTAAATGTATATGGCGCTTCCCTCCCTCACCATTTTGGCATCAAGGTGCAGTCCAGGGGTGGGTTCTGGCTTCTATTACTGCTGGTTCGCTCAGGGATGTGCTTTGGGCATGCATGTGCTTTGGGTGTGCGCACAATGCGCACATGCGCAGTAGTTAAAAATTTCTTCTGCGCATGCGCAGAAGAAAATAACAAGAAGAAATGGACCGATAGCAGCGGTTCAGGGAGTGTTGTATCCGGCTGAGTTACTACCTACTCGGCTGAACCGGTCCGAACCAATAGGAACCCACCTCTGGTGCAGTCCAACAGCTTTTTAGGACAATATCCCAGGAACTACAGGATATGTAGATAGAAGATCTTAGAAGAGAAACTGATTTTTGTTTCTGATCTCAAAGAATTGGGAAGTTTCTCAAATATGTCCCCTGTCAGGCTTTCCTCTGTGAATTATTTTTAAATTTTTATACGATTTTTTAAAAATCTCTGTTAGGTTTCATGCATAGAATTCTCTCAGTCTCCTGATTTCTAGACCAGAGTCTAAACTACCCTATCAAACTGATTCTGTGAATGTCGAATGGTGGTTTTGCACAGGTTTTGACCAGCTTGAGGTAAAGTTCCTTCATTACTCACAAAAACTAACAGAAACAATCCCTCTCACTGCTACTCCAAACGGGCAGATATAGATATCTCTGTTCTTATTTCAGACCAAAAAACAACGATGACTAAACAAATTGTATGATTGATGCTCAAAAGAAATAATAGGTTATCTTCTCTTTGGATTATTACATTTTTTTTTCTGTGAGCATGTAAAGATCACAGGGAATAGAGCAGGTTCTGACAGTTTCTGGAGAACCGGTAGCGGAAATTTTCAGTAGTTCAGAGAACTGGCAAATACCACCTCTGTCTGAGTGGGGAGGGAATGGGGATTTTGCAGTTTCCTTCCCCTACCGCGCCCACCAAGCCACGTCCACAGAACCGGTAGTAAATTTGAATTTCACCACTGGAATAGAGGGAGGGATGGTGGATGTATAGACAGGCTGTGAATAGACACTGTCCACAGATTCTATACAAAATCAAATTTATAAATTAAATCTGTTTGACAAAAAAGAATTGGGGGTGTTAATATAGCTATATTGATTAAAGTTTAACCCAGCTGAGATTGTCATCAATTGGGATTTGCAAATCAGCTTCAAATATTGATTGCAAATGGATATAAAATTAATATTCCGCTTAACCAAATCCTGTGGATGTTATATTGTGAAGAAGACAAAAACGAAGAGAGAATTCCAAAGTCCTTTTGAATTTTGGAGCATGTTGAAGAGGAAAGGAAATTTTTTTAATATTTCTCCTCAATGCATAAAACAAATAAATATGACTGCATTTAATTAAAAAAAACATGAATAAAGGCATCTCCTTTCTAGGTAGAAATATGATTAAGTCTCTCTTGAGTTTTAAGCATGGTTAAACATTTCATAAAACAAATGATTTGTAAAATTGTATGATCAACCTTCATCAGTAAAACAACAAGGGAAAGGGAGCCAAATGAGTTTTTAGCTATTAAAAATACTTTCTGAGTACTTTCTGGGTATTTAAGTAAAATAACTTGTAAATAGTAATTATAGATTCTTTCTGTGCATGCGTGCGGCCTTCCGCACATGCGCTTTGCTTGTGCGTGTGACATGCATGCATGCGAACAGCATCAAAAACAAGGCTACATAGAATGTTTTGGAGCCTGGGGGTGGCAGGGGGGCGGTGATACGGGCCCACCCACAGGTAGCCACTACCGGTTCAGGAGAATCTGTCCAAACCGGCTGAATACCACCTCTGATTTCTGTATGGAAAATCATTACCAATACTGATTCTAAAAATGCTAAAGGAAAAGGAGAAACCAGGAAATTTTATATCCCTTCTTCTCTATTACACCTATTAATATTTTGGCTTATTTATGCATACACCTACTGTATATTAGAACAATACTGGCATAAATATTACCGTCGTATGTTACATAGGGCACTTGAAATCCTTTGCCACTGTTTCCTTCATTTGATTTGAACTGAATCCACAATTTCCGTGACCGGGAGGTGAATGCTATGGGTCTCTCATAGGTTTGGCAGGTTTCGTAGGTAGTAATTGATGTAGGTGAAGCTTAAAAAAAATAAAAAAAATAAACAAATAGATTTTTGTAAAAATAAAATTTAATTTTCCAAGATACGTGAAGTGCTACATTTAGCATTCTCTCTAGTCCAAGATTAGCAAGACCTGCTACATCTCTATGTAGTCTTTCAGAGAGAAATGTTTCCTAATTATCTGGTGGCCATGCTTTTCTGGAGACTGAACACTGAACCTCCCTTATGTAAAACTTGTATTCTGTCACTGAGTTAAGACCATTATTCAAACTACTGGTATATTCCACTATCTTGCAACTGATCTAATGAAATTACCATATTTTTTGGAGTATAAGATGCTTTGGAGTATAAGATGCAAATTAGTTTGCATAGTTTCCATCGGTATTAATCTGGCTAGCCTCCTTGCAGCAAACATCAATAAGTCCGGTCAGCTTCAATATGTTATTGCAGCCTGATTTAGCACAAGCAGCTGATTGGCGGTTGGATTGGCCTCTTGGAATACCCCCAATCAGCTGTTCCAGGCAGTGAGGATCATCATAGCCCATTGCCACCTCCACGTGTTACGTTTTTGGTTTCCGCGCATCATGTTTTCGGCCCCCACATGCTCAGTTTTAGACCTGTTCCAGGCTTCGGGGATCACTACAGAACATCGCCGCCAATGCATTGTGTTTTCAGTCTCTGCACAGAATGTGTGGAGGTAGCAATCAGCGTGATGTGCTGTGGCAATCCCTGCACTCTGGAACAGGTGTAAAACGGAGTGCGCGGAGGCTGAAAACGTGAAGCATGGAGGCTGAAAATGATTGGTGGGTGGGTGGTGGGCGGGGCTTTGGGGGTGGTGGGCGGGTGGTGGTGGTGAGGCTTTGGCAACATTTGCTGTATAAGATGCACAGACATTTCCACCCACTTTTTTTGTGGGGGGAGTGCATCTTATACTCCCCAAAATATGGTAACTTTCATTGGCAGAAGTTAGGGAATCATTTGGAAATCTTGTTTGGACTCATGATTATGTTAGTCCAGGGGTCTCCAACCTTGACAACTTTAAGCCTGGAGGACTTCAATTCCGAGAATTCCCAGAGTTGAAGTCCGCCAGGCTTAAAGTTGCCAAGGTTGGAGACCCCTGTGCTAGTCTATACTCTGAGTAATATTAAATAATTTCATTCAATATTGTTTTGGAGGTAGAAATAAATTGGACGGTAGAAAGCAAAAAAGAGATCCAGAAGTGATTATTATATTGCAATCCTACAGAAAACATGGTCATTATCCAACACCAGTGTTGGTCATTATCCAACACTGCTGAAAGTGTTGTATAGGAAATGTGACAAAATCTTTGTCAGATGTTGAATTTAGAGTCGGTTCTGCCTGCAGATGTAGCTTCTAAATGCTAAGAGCTAATAATAATAGCAATAACAGTAGACTTATATACCGCTTCATAGGGCTGTCAGCCCTCTCTAAGCGGTTTA